TCTGATCATCCCTAAGAAATATCTCCCCTCCACCTCCCACCACCAGGATCCTGCCCCGAGTTGCTGGCAGTTCTTAGAATACCAGTTGCTCTTGTACATACACACCCGTTGCCCTTCGTTCAAGCTGTGTCTTCAACCTTATGGTGGCAGGTCTGTCACCTTGAAGATGGAGCCCCTGTGGCCCCTCCATGGTGCCCACCAGCACGGCTCCTGGCCTAGCTCCAACAAGGAAGCAGTTGCCATTGCGGTGGTGACTGCCACCCACCAACTCTGGCAAGCATTCACATGCGCTAAACATCCAAGAGCCCAGGTTCACTGACCCACTGGATTGGATGGCAAAGCCCAGGGTTTTCTGGGACCTCACTTCTGCCCTCCCCCCGAAAGCCACTGGGGCCGAGGAATGGAATGTTCAGAAGTCTGACTCACCAGTGTTGGATCATCCACCCCTGCCCCAACCCTTTCTCAGAAACGTCAAATTCCGTAAATCTGAGACGAAGAGACTTCCAGAACTCGACGGCAAAGCTAGACCTTCTATTTATTTCCATTTATGTGACAGTTCCCACAGTTCACCACAAAAATAGCAACGTGCTCAATTAGGAGGTGTAACTCAGGTGCCAATGAAATGCCTCCTAATCCAAAGCGGTGACTGGCGGGGTGAACAGGAGTGGAGAGGCAGGCAGGGTTCAGGGTGGGCCAGAAGGCAGCCCCTTTATGCTTTATTTATAATCCATTTTACAGCCCGGGAAATTGAGGCCAGACAATTCCCCAGAGGCCCCTGGTTCGCAGCTGTCACAGGGTTTGCTCCCAGAGCAGGCCTGCTGCAGCACAGAGGAGGCTGCAGAAGGGGCCTGGTGGGACCCCAAAGCCAGAGGCCTCCTGATGGCCGGGTGCATAGGCTGGCGAGAGGCAGTGACCCGAAGGCAGTGCAGGTCCGTGGGCAGGGTAGACAAAGGGGACACCGCCTGGGGAGTCCGCAGGACCCAGAGCATCGTGGGAAAGCCCCCGCGGGGATGGGGGCTGTCTGCGGAGGAGGGGCAGGGGGTGCAGCAGAGCAAAGGGCTAGTCTCTCCCGCCCCCCAGGCCGGGCG